TGTGTTGGCGTGCGGTGAGTTGTTTTATATGCCCACCGAGCTTCTTCTATATGGTCATACCAATCCCGTTTTGGATTTGGAGACAACTTTCTTTTTCTTTAACAAGTTGCATAGAGTCTTGTTGAATGCCTCGGCTAGACCATTGACGACATCATTGTACATAGAAGAGTTACGTTACTTGAAGTCAAAGAGTTCACAAATCTTGTTTATCAACCTATTGTCGAATGGCTTGCCATTATCCGTTATTATGTAACGAGGAATGCCAAAGAGATAGATAATGTTTACTCGGATAAAACTTGCAAAATTTTCCTTCTTTACTTCCTTAAGAGCAACAGCTTCAGCCCATTTTGAGAAGTAGTCAGTTGCAACCAAGATGTATAGGTGTCCACCAGAAGACTTTGGCAGTGGTCCAACAACATCCAATCCCAAAGTGTCAAATGGCTAGGATGCAATAGTTCGGTGCAACACTTCAGGAGGTTGATGAATAAAATTCACATGGAATTGACAAGCCTTGCATCTTCGAACGTAGTCCAAGCAATCTTTTATCATCGTTGGCCAATAATATCCCATCCTTTTTATATGAAAATGGAGCTTTGGTCCAGACTGGTGTGACCCACATATCCTAGAATGAGCCTCTTGCAAAGCTTGGAGTGCTTCTTCTTCCCCTAAGTATCGCAAGAGTACTCCCTCGAATGACCTTATGTATAGAGTATCTTCGTAGTAAAGGAAGTGAGGTGCACGACGACGGATTTTAGTCCTTCTCCTCGGATTTCCTGGAAGTATCCCATAGCTTAAGTAGTCGATAATGGGTTGTCGCCATTCTTCTTTCTCAGCTTCAGAAACAGTAACAAGTTACTTGAGTTCATTTTCTTCACCTTCAGCCTCATTCGGTGGCGGTACTACCCATTTTTGGCAAACAGTAGCTTGCGCTTGATCAGGCAAGGTTAACGATGAATCTAGGGCAGCTAAAGCATCAGCCTTTTTGTTTTCTTTCCTTGGCACATGTTGAATAGTCACGTCACCGACCCACCCCATTAATTTATTTAGCATAATCATGATATGGGTGTAGTTAAGGTTTCTTGACCTACTAACTACCTAAAAGTTGGTTGATCACCAACTGAGAGTCACCAAAGACTTGCAATTGCAATTGCTTCATTTCGACAGCCATTTCAAGCCCAAGTATTAGTGCTTGATACCCAGCAACGTTGTTAAAGCACAGTTGCGTCAATGTAAAAGAGTAGGGCAGAACTTCACCTTGAGAAGTGACAAATACTATACCAACACCAACACCAGCCCCTCCACGATGTGCAACACCATCAAAGAACATCTTTCATGGAGGTTGAACTTTAATGATCATTGCGTCCTCATCAGGTAGTTCGTCAGTTAGCTCCTAATCATCAGGTATAGGGTGATCTGCCAAGAAGTCCGCTAACGCTTGTCCTTTTATAGCCTTTTGAGGGATGTTCACAATTTCAAATTGTTGAAATTGGAGGTACCACATTACTAGTCGATCATTAAGGACAAGTTTTGACATCACGAACTTGATGAGATTTGCTCTAGAAACGAAACGAATGACATGAGCTTGAAAGTAGTGCTTCAACTATTGCATTGAGAAGACTAGCGCCAAACATAACTTTTCAATTGGCTAAAAATTCATCTCACTTGGTGTCATCATCCTACTCAAGTAGTAAAGGGAGTTTTCTTTCCCTTCACTATTTTCTTGGGCCAACATCGCTCCAACAGACCTTTCTGTGCTGAAATATATAGTATCAACGGCTTTTCAAGTATAGGGACTGCCAAAACTGGAGGCTTCATCAAGTAAGTTTTGATACTTTCAAAGGCATTGCTACAAGCTTGGTCCCACTTGAAAGGAATGCCTTTCTTTGTGAGATAACTTAATGGTTGGCACCTCCCAGCTAGGTTTAAGATGAATCTTCTAAGGTATGATAGCTTTCCTTGCAGACTTTTAAATTCATGAATATCTTGAGGCTCAGGCATTTTTAAAATGGCATCCACTTTGGCTTGATCAATTTCGATCCCTCGATGTCGGACAAGGAAACTAAGGAACTTTCCAGAAGTAATTCCAAAGGCACATTTCAATGGATTCATCCTAAGTTGGTACCTCTGGAGCAACTCAAACACCATTCTTAAGTCTTTAAAGTAGTCCCTCTTCTCTCTTGATTTTACCACCAAGTCGTCAACATAGCATTCGACATTCTTATGGAGAAGATCATCAAAAATATTCTACATAGCCCTTTGGTAAGTAGCACCAGTGTTCTTCAAGCCAAAAGGCATTACCTTGTAGCAATATATACCCTTGGGGGTACGAAATACAGTAAGCTCTTCATCTTTTGGCGCCATGTGAATTTGATTATAGCCCGGTGAACCATCTATAAATGGCATTGTCTCGTACCCAGTATTAGCATCGTTCATCAACTCTAGAATAGGAAGCGGGAATTCATCTTTCGGACACGCATTATTGAGATCCCTGAAGTCAATGCACACTTGAATCTGGCCATTTTTCTTCCTTACAGGGACAATACTTGAAACCCATGTTGGGTATTTAACTTCACGAATAAAGCCAGCTTCGATGAGTTTGTTAACTTCGGTTTCAATCAAGGGAATCAAGTCCGGCCTAAAGCGCCTTTGAGCTTGTTTAGCAGGACGAGCACCATTCTTGTTTGCAAGGTGATGGACTGCTACTTTCGGGTCCAAGCCAGGCATCTCTTTGTAACTCCAAGCAAAGACATCCCTGAACTCCTTGAGTAACTCAATATAAGTGCTTTCTTCATCAACTTCTAGTAAAACACTTAGGTAGGTAGGCCTTGGTTCTTCATCGGTGCCAGGGTCAACTTCTTTTAAGGCATCAATTATTGTCTTCACCCCCTCTTCAAGTTCAGGTGGAGCATCTTATGCATCTTCATCTTCTTGAGGGTCCCCATCGTTGAAGAATATATGATAACACGGTGAAACATCCTCCAATTTCTCATCATCCTCCATTAGAGACGAAATACCATTCTCTCCTTGTGCGGTAACATGATATGAAGAACCCATACTTTTTTCGTCTTCGTCACGTTCCTTAGTATAGACCACAATATATGGCTTTACCTTCAATACTTCTTTACATAAAACCATAAGTTTTGTTTGTCGCCTCATTCTAGAAGGAATGAAACTTTAGACATCCTTAGAGATCTTCTGGATTCTAGGAAAAACGAATGTTCTTATGCTTTGATAATTCCTCTGGAACTTATTCCCCTTCTTTAATGGACCCAATCTCTCAAACGTGAAAGTCCTCACAGTTGATTTTCCAAGTCGATCAAAGACAGAAGGCTTGTTAGAAGTGGCAGATTCATCTTCTACAGTGATATAATTAATGCTCGCCCTTCTTATGGAGATGCGCACTGGTGACAATTGCTTGTATCCCAAACCTTCACGTGATTGCCTCATAGCAGCTTCTGATGGGAGCTTCCCTAATTTTTATAGCTTATTGGGATTGTATCCAACTTTTACAAATAGCATGTAAGCATTAAGATCAAAGCCTTCATATGTACGCTTCGTAGGGAGTGCCACATTCTGCGAAGGACTTTGGGCCACAAACCCTGCAAGTAGCATTGAGGGCAACTTTACTGCCTCAATTTGTTTGATCAAAAGAGTTAACTCTCTTAGCATATTGGTTTGGAGTTTGGCTGATTCTCCCTCATCTTTCTTCTTTTTAGGGACATAGCACTGCGCAAGAGTTTCTTTCTTACCATGGGACACAATGTTCCCTTTATGAGATTTATTTGGGCTAGGGTGCACCTCCTTAGCAACATCTTTGGTTTTGTCAGCAACTACCTCAGCTCTCTTAGTCGTGGACTCGTCATTCTTGCCATTCATGACATCATCAACTTTCAGCTCCTTCACAATGCGGTTCTTTAAGTAGAACTTTGCATCGGCAAAGTATGACTTAGCCTCGATGAATTGCTTGTCATCAACAACTATCTTGTTCTCGACTTCACCCTCGTGGTACGTCAAACATTGATGGTAGGTAGATGGAACCACTTTATTCTCATGTATTCAAGGTCTTCCAAGCAAGACGTTGTATGAAGTCTTTGCTTCGATCACATGTATCCATGCACTTGATTACATATCTTCAATGGTGATCCCCAACCTGATCGCACCTATGGCTTTTTTCCCCCTGGTTGAATCCTTGAATAATCACACGACTTTCCTAGAGTTCGTTTATCAGCATTGCAACAAGAGGCCTTAATACCATAACGGGAAATCTTCATGCGGAACCAACATGGCAAGAAATCCTCCAAGGTCACTAGATGTCGTGGCTTTTGAGGGTGGTGCACCTCCACTTTTGCTTTCTTCAAACACCTAACTGAATTCTGTTTCCTTGGTCTTTTTATCATCATTTTCCTTGTTGGTTGTTCTATTGATTCTTTTCGTGGTCTCCTTCTGTGGCGCCTACGACGAGTTATCAACGTCCAACCTTTATCATCATCAGGTTGATCAACTTCAACTTTGTTGTTCTCCAGTAATTCTTCATCTTTACTTTCTTTAAAACCACATAATTCATATGTATTGAATGAGCCAAAGGTGATAGAGACTTGGTTTGCGCTTGCTTTTTCATCTTCAAGCACAATCTTCTTTTCACGAGCCAAGTCCATAACTTTGTCCTTGAAGATAAAGCACTTCTCTAGAGAGTGGCTCACAAGTCGATGGTATTTGCAGTAATTTGGGTCATTCGTTTTACCAGCTTTATTTGGCCGCTTCATCTCCGGAAGCACAATGAGATTTAACTCGAGGAGTTCTTCAAAAATTATTGGCATATCAGAATCCAGAAATGGGTACTCCTTCTCTTGCATTTCGTTTAGAGTCAACTTTCCACTTGGTTTTTCTTGAAAAGAAGTGGATTTCGTACTCTTCTTCTTACTCACATTCATTGTGAAATTCTTAGGTAATGTGTCGACATTCATAGCTTCTTTGTTTTCAGACTTGGGTGCAAACTTGCTCTATTTCATGATTTCTTGCTTGTTGTTCCCTTTGCGAGGCTCATAGATAGGCAGCCTTTCATTTCCAGCGGAGTCCATGCTTAACTCCAGGTCATGGGCATGAGTCCCAAGTTCTTCAAATATGCTAGGACTGATACCTTGCAAGATGTAGTGCAGTCCCCACTGCATGCATTGGATGCACATCTCTATGCGAGAAGTTTCACTAAGCATGTCTTTGCAGTTGAGGCTTTCATTCCTCCAATGATTGATAAAGTCGATAACTGGTTCGCCCTTCCGTTGACGAGTATTTGTAAGTTCCACCATGCTCACAGTGCGTCTCGTACTATAAAAGCGATTGAGGAACTATTGCTCTAGTTGTTCCCAGCTATCAATAGATCCAGCCTCGAGGTCTGTGTGCTAGTCAAAAGAATTTCCTTTTAATGAGCGGACAAATTGCTTGACGAGGTAATATCCATAAGTCGCAGTGTTGTTGCATGTCTCAGCGAAGTGTACTACGCGTTGCTTTGAATTGCCTTTTCCATCAAGTTGTTAAAACTTTGGAGGTTGATAGCCAGCAGGCATCTTCAACATATCGATCCTCGCAGTATATGGCTTTGTATATGTAAGAGAGGACTTGGTAGCAACTTCGTACTTGCTTTTAATAGTTCCTTTAATGAACTCCTTCAGTTGATCGATTGGAATCATCCCTTCAGATGAGACAAGGATAGCCTTAGCGGATGCTACTTGTCTTTGAGGAGAATTATTCTCTGGAACCTCTGGGAGCTTGCCAGGTGCATGGGTGGATTCTTCTTCCATCAAGATTCCCACCTTGTTTGTTAACTTGTCAATTCTAGCATCTTGATTTTGCATACACTTAGTCAAGCCAGCGATTGCTTCCGTCAAGTTTGCCAGCTGCTCCTCCACAGATGAAATGTTTGTCACCGTGGCTTGCATGATTGTTGTGGACGATGGAGAGTAGCATGAATTGTCACACATATTGATCCTTGATTGGCTCACGCTATGCGGTGTAAGTGGAGAGGATTCATCACTTGAAGCATCATCATATTCCTTCACAACAGAGTTCTTGGATCCTGAGAGGTCAAGTTGAGTTAGAATTTTCTTAATCTTTTCAGCAACATCGTTTCCTCCTTCGGGTGCATTTGTGGAAGATCTTGCTCCTTTTGAGGATGAAGATCCAAAAATAGGGGTTGATGCGGAAGGCACTTGGAGTGCTTGTTGTGCCAAAGAGATTGCCTTGCTTCTTGTAGTTGGTCCAAAGCTTCGAAAGGTAACATCGAGGATGCTTTCTACATCAGCGTAGAACCTGAAATTAGCAGCCTTGGTGGAAGTTGATCTGGGGTTAATTTTGTTTGAAGCCATTTCGATGTTCTTAAACTTTGGTGATTGAAAAGTTGAGATGAGAGGTAGAGATTTTTCCATTGGGCGTGCCAGAATTTGTAGACAATAAATTTGCGTCGAGAAAATAATCGAGACTGAAAAATATTGCAACAATCATAGTATTTGATTTCAAATAATATGAGTGTACAATCTCTATGAATCCTATGATTCTACTTTCCAATAGTAAATAAATCCAAGGGCCTTTGAGCTTGATCTTGAATATGTAGTTGTTGCCACGAACGATGATCTTGAATTGAACTAGCACGAACTTTGATTTGAACTCGTACTCCTTGAATCTTGATTTATTTTTCATTCTTGAGATTGAACTTGATTTCTTGAACTTGAACTTGATTGCTTGAAGCTTGAAACTTGTAGAGAAATTTGCAGCGTTTGATCCACGAGCTCTCTCTTACTTCTTATTATAACCTTTGGTCTATTTTATGAGTTATGAAGACCCCTATTTATAGTTTTGGGAGGGAAGAGTTGTGATGAGAACAAACTCTTTCCGACCAATCAGATTGAAGTGTGACATAGTCGTACTTGATTGGCCAGAACATGTCACTTACACACGTGGCGCGGTTTCATTGGCCTTTATATGTAACTTGGCATGCCTTGTCATTTTGACATGTGGCATGATCCCATTGGCTCTTCCATTTGACTTGGCCTGCCACGTCATTTGACACATGGCACCAAGCTGGGTCTCTAGGAATATGGCATCTTGGGCTTGATAAAGTGGGCTCATCATTTGTGACCCAATTAAATGGGTTAGCCCAATACATTTGGACCTTATATATTGGACTTATATAATTAATTAAATTAGCTCATAATATTTATTTGGACAAATATATTTAATATATAGTCCAAATTATTTTATTGAATTTAAATTCAATAAATTTTGTATGCCTACAGTGTTAAAAGATTTTGGAAAAATTGTCCAAATTTAACTCTTTGTTTTTTAACTATGAAAAAGGCTAAAAATGTCCCTTAATTAGTGAAAATAAAGCAAATTTATCTTTATCTTGAATTTGATCTCAAACATACCCTTATTATTAGAGGATTTGTTCGGATTTGTCCCTCGAGCATAGAAAGTAAAATAAATTTGTCCTCCGTTTGGACCCAAATATGTCGTTATCAAGAGTTGATCACTAGCTCATATTTGCCCCTCAAAACTAACAAAATTTATTTTTTTTATATTTCATTTTAGGGTCAAAATTTTTATTTGACTTCTATTTCTAGAACAACGAAAGAATAAAAAGAAGGGAAAAAAGAAGAAGAAAAAAAGAACATGCATAGTGTATTTTTAAAAACACATATCAAAAGCAGTGATTCACAAAATATTTTGCTTTGCGCAAAAGATAACTAATAAGTCTTTTATCTTTTAGTTTCTATCTTTGTGAATTAATACTCTTTATGCAATTATAATTATATGTGGATTCTTGAAGATTATTTATTTTTCCTAAAATAATTGGTTTTCTAGAATTGGTGTTTTGTTTAATTACGAAAAATATCAAATATACCTTTGTACTTTCAAAAAGAGTTTAAAAATCCTTCGTTATACTATTTGGTCATCTTAACTTGGGGCGGAATCAACCTAGTAGGTGTGGGTTCCCGAACCCAGTAGCTTTTGCATATACCTTGTATATGTATTAAAAAATTTACTAAATATCTATTAATATTTTATTGTGAACCTAGTTACTTATTGTATATTTACTTAAGGTCGTTGTAGGAACCCATAAATTTTAAATCTTGGATCTACCTCTGATCTCATCCCCCAATGTTATACTATCATTTTAAATATATCCCTCAATTGGACGGACTGCAACATACCCTCATAGGATTAAAATGTCTCATCCTTTTTTTTTACTCGATTCATTTTCCCCTGCTCATAAACTAACCCAAAGTTACCCCCTTTTTTAAAAGGCAGAATAGCCTAGGAGATACCTATACTTGTTCCAGTTTGACATCACATCCCTATACTCCACAAAGTTTCATCCATACACTTCTACTCGATCAAAACTAGTATTTTAAACACTTCTGATCATTGACCAAGCTTATGTAGAATTGAATCTATTGAGTTGGATGAAATGTGTGAAATGCACACGTATAAAGTGAGTGTAAACAACGAATTTGATTTAAAAATGGATTAAATAAAAGATTTTTTTTTAAAAAAGTAGAGGAATTGTTACTTTATTATTAAAAAGTCCCCCCCTTAATGTTTCTTCGTCCCCCAATCCAGCTACCCTCCCATATCGCAAAAAATATTGTCTTTCACCTATGGTTTTTTCTCCCATTTTGTTTGTAAAAGAAGAAAACCAAATCTAAAGGTAAATCAATAAACAACACATAATTTGCTAACAATATAGGCCAGTAGGTGAGATTTCATTCAGATAATAGAAGTTGGAGACCCAAATGAATACGAGTTTTCTTTTTTTAAACAATTTTTGTTCATAAAAATGATAAAGATCTTATGGGTCTTCTTGTTGAAACAATATCTTAAAATCATCATAAGTAGGATTGAGATCTTCACAGAAGAGTGGGAATTGCATGATTTCGAAGTGTTTTATTTTGGATAGGGTGGATGCGCTTTGTAAGGATTTAGGAAGTGTTAATTACAACAACAACAACAACAACAACAACACCGACCCAGTGAAATTTTACTAGTGGGATCTGAGGAGGGTAGTGTGTACGCAGACCTTACCCCTACCCCGAGGGAGTAGAGAGGCTGTTTCTGAAAGACCATCGGCTCAAGAAGACGAAAGGAGACAATATCAGTATCACCAATAAAAACCATAGGAAAAATAACATCATGTAAATGAGAAAGTAGATTCAAAGCAAACGTGATAGAGAGTACATAGACGTGACACTATGGAAAACAAAAGAGTAGTAAGACACAACATTTTCACTAGCTGACATTGGCAAAAACCCTACCATACTAGCCTCACAAAGGTATGAAGTAAGGTAGACTCAACTAACTCCTAACCTACAACCCTAATACTCGACCTCCACACCTTCCTATCAAGAGCCATGTCCTCGGAAATCTGAAGCCTCGCCATGTCCTGCCTGATCACCTATCCCCAATACTTCTTAGGTCGTCCTCTACCACTTCTTGTGCCCTCCAAAGCCAGCCGCTCACACCTCCTTACAAGAGCATCTGGGCTTTTCATTTGTACGTGTCCGAACCATCTGAGTCTCGCTTCCCGCATCTTGTCATCAATGGGAGCCACACCCACCTTCTCCCGAATATCTTTATTCCTGATCTTATCTATCCTAGTGTGTCCACACATCCACCTTAACATCCTCATTTCTGCTACTTTCATCTTCTGGATATGTGAGTTCTTAACAGGCTAACACTCAACCCCATACATCATGGCCGGTCTAACCAACGCTTTGTAAAACTTACCTTTAAGTATCGATGTCACTCTCTTATCACACAAGACTCCAGATGCTAACCTCCACTTCATTCACCCTACCCTAATACGGTGTGTGATATCCTCGTCGATCTCCCTTCCCCTTTGAATAACTGACCCAAGGTACTTGAAATTGCCACTACTTGGTATGACCTGTGATTCAAGCCTCACTTCCACGCCCACTTCCCTCGGCTCAGTGCTGAAATTACACTCTAAGTATTCCGTCTTTGTCCTGCTCAGCTTGAAACCCTTAGACTCAAGGGCCTGTCTCCACACCTCTAACCTTTCGTTAACACTGGTTTGCGACTCATCAATCAGAACTATGTCATCAGTGAATAACATGCTCCATGACACCTCCCCTTGAATATGGTGTGTTAACACGTCCATCACTAGGGCAAATAAGAACAGGTTGAGCACAGAATCTTGGTGTAACCCCATAACAACTAGAAACTGCTCAGAGTCGCCTCCTATAGTCCTAACTCGAGTCTTAGCCCCATCATACATGTCCTTAATTGCCCAAATATAGGCAGCCGACACGCCTTTTGCCTCTAAGCATCTCCAGAGAACTTCTCTAGGAACCTTGTCGTACGCTTTCTCTAAGTCAATAAATACCATGTGCCGATCCTTCTTCCTCTCCATGTACTGTTCCACTAACCTCCTAATAAAGTGTATAACTTCCGTGGTAGAACGACCCGGCATGAACCCGAACTGGTTGTCGGATATAGACACTGTCCTCCTCAGTCTCGCTTCAACCATCCTCTCACATACTTTCATGGTATGACTTAGTAATTTGATACCCCTATAATTATTACAACTCTGGATATCACCTTTGTTCTTATACAACAGAACCACCGTACTCCACCTCCACTCTTCTGGCATCTTTTCATCCTAAAAATAACATTAAATAGCCCAGTCAGCCACTCCAAACCTGCTCGGCCCACACACTTCCAAAATTCAATCGGAATTTCGTCTAGCTTTCGTTGTTTCTGTTTTCATTTGTTAATGAGCATTTTGAAAAGTGATTACTGGGTGTATTTGAAGTAATAGAGCAAGGTAATTTTTGGGGTTGTGAAGGTGGACTAATGGAGGGGGATGTTTGGGGTGGTGAAGGTGGCAGCATAGAGACGGGAATAACCAGATATAGAGAGTAGATGGTAGGAGTGAAGTGAAGTAAAAATAAAATAAAAAGAAGTAGAAAATTTTGAAATGAAGTTTAAAAAATAATGATGTGGCATAAAAAAATCTAAGGTGGATATGGATGTATCATCCACATAGGATCTTTGAAGAGCACGCGAGGTCGAGAGAGTTTAAAAGAATTGTTTTGAACGAGCAGAGATGTTTGGATTAAACTTTGTGTAGTAGAGGACTGGGATGTCAAACCGGAATAAGTACAGTATCTCCTAGGCTATAACAATTATTTTTTTAAAAAATCCCCAAAACGAGTGGAACACAAACGACAACTTTTTCGGTGATTGGCTTTTATGTTATCGACTTTCAGGGACAATTTTGTGCCCTTGACATAGAAGGAAGGACACTTCTTTTTGACTCACCATTTGCCGCACTAGAAATTTTACCCTCCATGGTTGATAATCTGAGCACTTTCATTAGCAGGAAATAGCTAGTGTTATCATGTGGGGAGTTGTTTTTGGTGGGGCTCTGGAAAAGACTGAGGTTTACAGGTTAAATCGGGGAGAAAAAGCTTGTATTCAAGTGAAAAGTTCGGGCAATCGAATACTTTATATATATATATATATATATAATTATTATTATTATTATTATTATCTATACTATATTAAAAGCACGAATACATTTAGCAAAATGTCGTTCACCTTTTTTGCCCCTTAAAAATAAATTTTATGTTAGACATAATTGTCATTTTAAGTTTTTTCCCTAATATGTAGGAGTTTTAAATAAACTAAATCAGTACACTAAATCCTTCCTTATTTATATAATGTAACATAACAAATTTATTAATNAATCCTTCCTTATTTGAAGTATCTACAAATTCTTAATATTAAATATCTTATATAAATCTTTCCTTATTTATAATGTAACGTAACAAATTTATTAATAAAAAGAAAACAACGATTGAAAAATTATTAAAGTAGCAAACTTTTGTCAGTACTCCTTTTCTTTTCCCCCACTAAGGACTCCTTTTAAGTTTAGTAGTCTTTGATTTTTGTTAAAAAATATCTATACTATTTTATAAGCACGAAACCCCTGGCGAAATATCGCTCGACTTTTTTACTCCTTAAAAATAAAAATCATATGGATAAAATAGTCGATTTAATTTTCTTAATATTTAAAAATAATTATTTATTTTTCTAATATTTAGGACTTCACAATTAATTTTTTTATGTATTTAATTTTTTTAAAAGATTTTTTCTCATATAAAAATTTCTTATTTGTACTATGTAGCATAATTATAATTCGTTCCATTATTGTTGTTTGACCTTTTTAAGTATTATTCAAATATATCCTACTTATTCTTAAAGTTTCAAAAACATACAAATTCTAAATCAACAAGAATACATTGGATTGGTCTCATCTTCCTTCTTCTCAATTTCTGAAGTTATGTGATGCAAAAACTTCCATATACTTTTTGTATATCATTCTGGTATATATTTTTATTTTTTGTGTGTAAATTTGTACGATAGTTGCATTTTGAGCATAATATCATTTTCTCAATAACTCCGTATTCAAATTAAAAAACTTGAGCTACCATGTACTTTTCTTTTTCTTTTTTACCTTTATAGGATTTTGGTTTAAAATATAAAAATAGCTCCAACATTCATATCCTGAGATTTTTTATATTGGTGCACGTGGTAACGAAATTAAATTTGTTTTACCCTAATTTGAAAGGAAGTGTTACCTAATTTCTATAAAGAATTGGCAATTGTTAGAAGAGAGAAGAGGGTTCTAAATTTTGTTGCTATTTTTAAGAAAAATAATTTTTGTTATTAAATGCCAATTCTTTTTGGGCTTCTATTACCAAACTTAATGTAAGGCAAAAATATTATCAATTCTCTTTATACGTTGTCATACCATGTTATTTTTCCTTAATTGTTTAGCAGTACACGCAAATATTGGCATTGATGGACATGGTAGTTGGCAACTCTTAATAGTTGACTATTACTTACTCCCCGCGGTCCACATTAATTAATTTTTTGACTGCTTTCACACATACTAAGGAATTCATCTTTTAGCATTAACTAACAATGAAATTGACCATGTTAACCTTAATTTGTTCTTTGAAAATATACCAAATACTCCTAGGCTCTTTACTCCAAGGGCAACTTTGAAAAAAAAGAAGATAATTCCTTTTTGATACATAAAAAAATTAAATATTATGGACAAAAAAAGGCAAAAAAATCAATTAAAGTGGACCGGAGAGAGTAGTTGTTTAACTTGAAGGCATGAATATAATTTGATGATTGTTTATATGTCTCATCGCTTTGTGAAAACTATAGATTAATAGTTAGCATTTTTTTTGGGCATAAAACTTGTGATTAATAAAAAAGATGACAAGTTAAATAATTCTAGATACGCCAGGAATAAATAAGTTACAGTGTCAAGCAATCCTCAAAATTGGACTATATTTGTCGCGTATATATTTTTTCACATGGACAACTATATATTATACTTTTAGGAGGAATATTGATGCCAACAATAAAAATTTTGGTCATGATAGTTTAGTTGAAGTAACGGAACATACACCAATAACTTCCTCTGTAAAGAGGATACAACAATATTATATCATTCAATCTCATACAATACAACATCCATCATTGAAAATGCTATACACACTACTAAAAAACTAGATTTTAGCGGCGGACAAATTCTGTAACTAAATAGAAAAATCTATTATTTAGAGACAAATTATCAAGAAATTCTGTTAGCTACGAGCGATTTAGCGACAGATTATCGACGAAATTCGTAGCTAATTTCAGTTTTTTAGTGATAACTAACTTAACTAATTAAATTATTCATGTTTGCAGGTTTAATATCCAACAATTTTGAACTCACTTATTACGTTAATGTAGTTATACTCGTTTTTCCATTTAAATGCATATTGGATCTATTAGGACGCCAATTGCTATTACACATAGTTTATTCTTGTTATATACAATTTTTTTATTAATAGACAAGCTTACACGTGCAACGCAAGTACCCTAACGCTACTACTATATATAAATGAAAATTTTACCTCCTATAACAAATGTATACACCCTATTTATTATAAATTAAAATCATTTTAAAATATTATTTTCTATAGCTACCTTTTATATTTTGTAGTAAAATAAGTATTTATGGTATATACTAGCATTGAGGCATGAAATAAGACATGAAATACGCTATTTATGTTTTTTCTCTCTTAGACAACTGGACATACCTATTTTTAAGGTGATTGTCGTTACTATATTCATGAATACATGGCGCGAATACATGTGAATACATGCGCATATAGGTGGACTGTCCTGATTTTAGACGTTTTTTTACTGCTGTATTCATGAATACAGCAACGCGAATACATGTGAATACATGCGCGTATAGCTGGACTGCCCTGATTTTAGGCGTTTTTTGTTGTTGTATTCATGAATACACGACGCGAATACATGCGCGTACAGCTGGACTATCCTGATTTTTAGGCGCTTTTTGCTGTTGTATTCATGAATACAGCAGCGCGAATACAACGAATACACTATTATAGCAACTGAATACTAACTATAGAAAGTAATCATATATATAGTAGTTATAAGAAGTTAATAGCCACTAAACAATAGTGGTTTCCGAAAATTTCAGTATATAAATGGCTAAGGAGAGACGAACGCTGCAGTAAAAGTTGTACAAAAAACATATGGAAATTGTAATGACAAAGGTATTCTTGAAAATGTGTATATATTGAGGGGTAAAATGATACGTTTCTCTCTCCAGAGAAACACGTACTGTAAAAATACGTATACTGTTGTCCCCTCCACAAAACACGTGTACTATATATACGGAACCCTATTTTCTCTCACTATCCGGCGGTGTTCTTCCATGTCCCAGTCCTGTTAATTTCTCCGATTCTCCAAAATTCAAGCTAACTCCAACGAGTGGTCGTCTTTACCCATTTCTATTGGTGTATGTATAAACACAATGTGGTGGGTACATATGAGTTGCAATTCTTCTGATATAATTTCTTGCTGGAAGTTTTCATGGATGGTAATTGTGAACCATATTCTTCGTTATCCTTGGTCTGTGTTTCTTTTCTGCTGTTGCGATATAACTCGGTGAGCATGTAAAAATTTGATTTTAATATTTTTAGAACATGACTTAGAAACCTTCATTCTATTTCTGAGGTTCTCTATGGATTTGTATTTGTTTTTCTTCTGCTTTTTCTTTTTTTGTTCAATTAAGTGTACCATGTTATACTTTTTATGGATGATATATATTTCTACATGCATTGGATTATTTGTTCAAACGCCTCTTATGAAAATTCTCTGAATAGGTACATACTTTGTTGCAACATTGTGCATATTGATGTAGCTAAGATGCTTGATAATATGCCTCTTTTTCTTTTCCCCATAAGAGTAATATAGCTTACATATCGATCTGCAATCCAAAGAACATGTCAAAGAATATGCCGTTGTGTTAAAGAATTGCTTTTTGAAATTAAATCCATTTGCTTCCTTTTAAGAAAATCCAATTGCTTCCATGTATATTTCTATTGCAATGTAGCTATCTAGCTTTATTCCAACGGAGGTTAGACATAAAGAAATGTGCTCATAATCCTCATGTTATTATTGCAGTTACGAAGTTAATTTGGCAAGAGAGGAAGATGGATGAATCCACAAAATCGATTGGATAGGATGTTGACTCTTGCACCAGATATTGGCAATTTCTATGCATTTTTTGTTACAATTTTGAAGAGCATTATGGTACTGAAGAGCAGAGGAATGATGTGCTGAAGAGATGTGTTATAGGATCAAAGCATGGTAAAACTAACGTAAATACAGTTATCTAATAGCATTGAAGCCATGATCAAGAAGGTGAGAACTTTACAACTTGACTTAACCTCTCTTGAATCAGTCCTCTACCTATGAGCACAAGCATTAACATAGTTATCATCATTTTCATCAGAATCAAAAGTTTGATCCAAAATTCTAAAATATTGCATAAACTAGGATGTGAGAGTTCTAAAAGCTAACACAACTATCAAAATTTTAAAAAAAAGAACAACACTCGGATAATACATCCAAGAAGCATCTAGAAGTCTCATAAACATATGAAGAAAGTTAACCTGAATGTTTGCGGTTGTATACCTGCCAATGTTAGTTTGCATTGGAAGTTGTTTAGAATGTGAGTTGCATGTACAATATAAATACATTAGCATGTGGTTCACACTAGAAGTATACACCTTCTTGCCGTGTGATAACTCCAGACTAATAATTCCACATGGGATAAGAGTTCAAATACATTACAGGCTGGCTAGCAAAATGAAGACCTGTATGAGCACTTTTATGAACCTTTGTCACCATATAAAAGAGTTTATAATAAAATGTCTAATGAGCTTACTGGATAATGTCTCACAAATTCCATAATAATAATTTTATCTTAAAATAAGTGAATACTTTACCAGATATAGATGCCATTGATAATTTTGCATCTGTTATTGAAGTCGACATTCACAAATCCCGCAACTTAAGGTCAAATCTTAGTAGTAGACATCGCTTAAATCTCACAAATTTAATAAGCAGAGCATATTAGTCATTTGATGCAATTCAAACGTCTCCTTCCTGAATCTTCTTTTTTGTTTCTTAGTGATTATTTCTTATATATATGATTTAAAGCTAACCCGATTACTATTTTCTTTGTACGTTGATGATAATCTTTCTTTGTCAGATGCTTCCAAGTATGTCCTTAAGACTCGTGAAATTCTGAATTTTGTAGTTTATAGCATCTGCTATAATACTTATAGTGAACAGGAATGTATTATTGCTGGTAATGGACTTGAGGCTTGCTACTCTGATAGGGAACTGACAGCTATTCGAGCAAGTTTTCGGCACCGGATACTCTTTCGAGGATATCATTAACATTGAGAGCTTCTCTTATCATTTTGGAGTCATTGACTTGAGTTAAACTGATAGATAGAAAGGGGACCTGAAGACGGAAGCCAGAAAGATTTAATTTTACGTATAAAAACACATTGGTAATTTCTATGCTCTGGTAATTGATTAAGAATTTTATCTCCGTCCCATGATACCAGTAGATGATATAAGAATCTGCTAAAGAGAGGATACTAACAGAGTGTAAAGCTTGCCTCAAAGTTAAAATAAAAGAAGAATGTAGAAGTTGATAGATTGAGCATCAATATTTTTTTTTGGTCAAACATGATGCTTATATTAAAATAACTTAAGTAACATTACAGGGAGTGGTGGGCCTTGACGGCTCCAAGTTACAAAAAGATGCCAAGACTGGCGGAACATAGTGTTCCGAACAATTACAAGCATTGGATGGGAAATTCAAATCAAAAAATGGAGGATCAGTGGCATGGTTAGGTGAAAAGCGCCATAGCTGCAAAGTGCCAGTTTGATCAATCGTCATTTCTGGCAACAAAAAAGTTGGTGGATGCAAAAACATCGTAGTAGCATTCCCCATCTCTAGAGTTGTGCCGTGTTTTGCTAATTTGTCCGCCACCTCATTTAGCTCCCTAGATGTGTACGATACTCTTGGCTTACCCAGCTGGTGGAGGAGGGACCTGCATTCATGAAGTATAGATGAGTATTGAAGATTATGGTTTCGGAGCATATTGATTACCTCTGTAGAGTCGATATGTATTTCTAGCGGCATCAAATGATGTTGTAAGGCGATGCAGAGTCCTTCAAGTAAAGCACAAAGTTCCATAGATGTAGGATTTCCGTAATTACGTCGTGCTGCATAACCCATTATCCATTGCCCTTCCGAGTTTCTGAATACACCACCCAGACCATTTTTTGAGTAATGGTGTCGCATGCTCTGTCTGAGTTAAGTTTATAAAAGCCCTGCACTGGGGGGTTCCATTTTATGTATTGTGAGGATGCAACATTTCGTATGCGTTTGCTGTTGTGTATTAGGTATGCATATTCCGTAGCCTTAGAAATTATATGTTGCGTATTAGGGTAAATTCTAGTTTTTTCAAAAATACTTCGATTGCGACTTTTCCATACGTGCCAAAGTGCATAAGGAATGAGTGTTTGGGACAATAGATTTTGTGGAAGTGGTTGTTGAATTGTTACGAATTGGAATAGTCGTTGTAGAGGGTCTTCCTGAAAATTATTGAGCAAGTGAACGTGGGCATGTAGACCCAAGTTATGCCATACTATCTGTGCGTTTGGGCAATGGAGTAGGAGGTGTTCTATGTTTTCATTTGCTCTATTACAAATGCCGCATATAGGGGTAGTAGTAATGTTGAGTTTATGGAGGTAGCTTGCAGTAGGTAGTCGATGGTGGCTTAAAAACCATATGAAGTGTTTGATTCTTGGAGGTGTTGGTAATCTCCAAATCCATTTGAAGGTAGAGTTTGAGGGGGAGTTGTGCAATTTGTGGTATAAGGATTTTACTGTGAGTACCTCCGTTGGGGTGAGACCCAGATGAGGTCGAAAGAGGTGGGGTTTGCTATGGTAGGTATGCAGATGTAGGATAATGATTTTTTGAATTGTGGTGGTAATTCGAAAGGAATGAGTTACAAGTTTATAGTGTTGTGGGAGATATAGTTTGCAACCGTGGATTTTATGTCGTGTTGTGGTAGTGGGCCCTCGATGAGTTGGCGGAAAACTACTTTGGGCCCCAGCCAAGGTTCCGTCCAAAATTTGACGTGGATACCATTGGAGATGTTCCATGTTGGACCATCTTGACAGTAAGACCATCCTTGTTGGAGAGTCTTCCAAGTAGGTGTTATATTGTGAGGTTTTACGAGTTAAATATTTAGTTAAGAGGATTGATGCCCAGTGTGAGAGGGGTGAATTGAATAATCTCCAGGCTTGGGCGCCAAGAAGTGCATGATTTTTGTCAGTTACGTTAGGAATTCCCAGTCCACCATCTTGTTGATCTAGTTGGACAGTTTTCCAGTTTATCAGATGAAGCTTTCTTTTTTGTTGTGTAGTTCCCCAAAGGAAATCTCTTTGATATTTTTCTAGGATATGTGTGATATAATGAGGAATTTGTATTAATTGCATGAGGTGATTCGGAAGACAGTTAAGCGTTGCTTTTATGAGAGTTGTGCGACCTGCCATGATGAGCGTATTAGTTTTCCATCCTGTCAGTCAAAGTTTGAATTTGTCCAAGAGGAATTGAAAATTTGACTTTGTGGGTGTGTTGTGTGAATATCAGGAATCGTAGGTATTTTCCAAAATGTGTTCCTTCTTTCATGTTGAATGAATATAGAACAAAGTCTTTATCTCCGGGCGTGACATTGTGTGAGAAGAAAACTTTTGACTTGTTGTAGTTGATGGATTGGCCTGAAGCATTTGTGAAAACGGTGAGGGTGTCAGTAATAGAGTGGATACTTTTGGTATTTAATTTGGAAATCAGAGTGATATCGTCTGCAAAGAAGAGGTGGGATATTTGTGGACCGTTGTTAGATAGTTTTATGGGATGCCAATGCCTATAATCCACATCGGAGTGAATTTTACGAGTCAACATTTCTAGGCACAAGATAAATAGATAGGGGGAGAGAGGGTCTCCTTGACGGATTTCCCTGGTTGGATTGAAGAAAGGGGTAAGGGCACCATTAATAAGAATGGAAATTGTGGAGGATGCGATGCATGACATAATTAGTTTGATTAAATTGTGTGGAAAGTTAAAGTATACGAGGGTGTCACGTATAAAGCCCCATTCTAGTTTATCAACAACCCTTTCTAGATCTAATTTTAAAAGGAATTCTCCTTGCTTCCCTTTTTTCTTTTTAAAGTGATGAATAATTTCTTGAACTATAATAGCGTTGTCAGAAGCTCTATGATTTTGTAAGAACGCAGATTGTCCTGGGCTTATGATACTTTGAAGAATAGGTTTAATTCGATGGACAATGATTTTTGTCACTATTTTGTAAAGAGTATTACAAAGACTAATAGGGCGATATTGAGTGATCAAAGTAGGGTGAAGTATTTTAGGTATAAGACATAGATATGTTTTATTTACTTCAGGGGGAATGTGTTGGTTATTGAAAAATTCCTTACAGAAGGAGATGACATAAGGTGCAACTCGTGTCCAATAATTTTGGTAAAAAAATGGGTGCACCCCAGTGTTTTAAAAGGCGTGGGCGTAAGGCGAGACGTTTTACATATGCCTCAGCGAGGCGTAAGCCCCATAGGTATTTAATGTTTAATATTTTATAAAATAATATAATGACAGTAACTATTTATAAACATGTAAAATTGCATAAAAATTGAAGAAAACTATAAATATGTGAAATATATATGTGTGTGCGCGCGCTCCATCCCCACGAAAAACTAGTCAAAACAATCTGTTATACGCTACTTACAAGCACAAGTAACTTGAGTCTAAAAGAATAAAGTTTCTACATGCGGGAACACAAAGGATGACTAACATGCAATTTGAACTTTAAACTTGCTGCTATGAAGGAGAATGAAGTTCTCTTTGTATTTGTAATTATTTTTTTGTTGCTTATGGGAGATATTAGCAGATTAGCGGACAAGATAAAGAATTGGGAAAGACCATGAATTAGGGCTTCAATCAATAAAAAAGGCCTTGACTTTTAAATTTAATACATTTGAGTTCCTTTTTATACCTTTTGAGTAATTACCAAGCTGGCTTTTGAGAATTTGGGTATTATATAAAGGACTTATTCAACAAAATTTTGTTTTAATTTGAAAAAGTCTATGGGGCTTACGCCTCACTAAAAAAAAACGCGCCTCAAACGTCCGGGCGTACGCACCGAATTGCTGGGCATACGCCTCTTGAGACTTTCGCCCCACACCATCGCCTCGGGGCGTTTTTGGTGGGCCTCGCCCCAGGGCTCGCCCCAAGAACGCCTTTTTAAACACTGGTGCAGCCCATCCGGTCCTGGAGCTTTTAGTGGTTGAAAGGATTGAACAGCTCGATGAATTTCTTGAGTAGTTAGAGGCGATGACATGCTGGAAAGTTGTGATGGTGTCAAGGGATTAGGAGATTGAAGTGTAGTATTTTGTTGATGATCAGTATGAGAAGTAGTAAATAAATTTTGATAGTACTATTCAATTTGGCTATTAATAGTGTGTTGGTCGTATATCCAGTTCCCCACTGAATCTTTTAATGCAGTAATTTGATTTCGTCTCCGACGCTTGATTGTTGTGAGGTGGTAAAATTTTGTGTTGGCATCTCCTTGTTGTAGCCAATTTATATGGGATTTTAACTTCCAGAATTCTTCTTCCAATTTTAAAATGTCATTGTATTGGCCTATCAAGTCTTTTTCCAGCTGTTGTAAAAAGGAACTCGTAGGGTAGACATTTGATGACTGAATCCCTTTTAATCTGGCTAGGAGATTTCTTTTTTTCCTAAATATGTTTCCAAATGTGGATCTATTCCAAGCTGACATCTTTTGTAAAGTCTTCTATAGCAAATAAAATGGGTTTGTTATTCGTCCAGTTCCTTTTGATAATTGAGATAAATTGGGGATGACTTTGCCAAATAGTTTCAAATCGAAATGTTTTTTCTGTGGTGGCATATTTTTTATTTAATTGGAGTAATAAAGGACAATAGTCGGAATGAGTTCTAGGCAGGTGTTGCACTAGAGCTTCTGGAAACATGTTAATCCATTCATAATTAGCTACAAAACGATCTAGTCGTTCTAAAATACAATTTGTTAGATGTCTTTTGTTTGTCCAGGTATACCTACTACCAGTGTAACCGAGGTCCACAAAATTACAATAGTTTAAGCAACGAATAAATTTGTCACATCTATTATTATTAAGAGCTAGACCTCCGTAGGTCCACAAAATTACAATAGTTTAAGCAACGAATAAATTTGTCACATCTATTATTACTATTATTATTAAGAGCTAGACCTCCGTATTTCTCTGCTGCTTTTGTTACTTCATTAAAATCCCC